AGTTGAACAGATACTATCCCTAATTTCAACAGTCCATTATTCAAAGACAATGCTACGCCTTGAACAGAGTAAAATAACATGGATTTAAATTTTGAGTGGAGAAATGCTTTTAAAAATAGTTGTGTTTCAAGACAGGTTGAGTTCATTCATTTGCATCTTCTCCCGTAGTGCAGTCATGCATTAAGTTTGCTTAGAGCCTCCCTAGTCTATGCAGGTGACAACACTCTGCATATTTTTGTAGCCCCAAGTCATAGAAATACTTCCCAAGAAAATATCCACAAGGCAAGTGAGAGCAAAAGGGGGTCTAGGCCCAAATTCCTTTCCTTTGCAGAATTCCTACCCCACCTCTCTTTTGTAGGCCCAAATCCCCTAAATGGGGAGTGGGAGGTGTGTGACTGGGGTGAGGGGTAGGAATTCTAGGTCAGCCGCTAACTGAAGGCAAAGGCAGGCCTGGGGCTCCACTTATCTATTCCTTATAACCTCTGCATTAGTCTGGTAAGGGTCAGTTGTTTGTCTCTTTAAACTCACACAGAGATTAGGAAGGTTCAGTTGCCAGTGATTAAAGGGTACACAAGAGTGGGATGGTGCAGGGACGAGAGCAAGCCAGAGGGTCAGGCTGTCCAGTGCCACACTGCCCTTGGCAGCTTCCACAGGGTCCCTTACGTAAAATGGAGAGGATACCTCAATAAAGTGTGTGGCATACAGGAAGCAGTCAGGAAATGTTCATCCCCTTCCCATTGCTTCCATAGAGAACTGCCGTCCCTGATTTGAAGCAGGGATGAAGGGTTGACAGATTAATTTATGGACTCTGGCTGGCTGGCTCTTAATGCTCCAGATCTCTGTATAGTAAATAACAAGATGTCATAGCAAAGTCTACCACCTTTGGAAAACATTTGTGTATATACAATATCCTTGTGCATGTAACACAATTCATAACTCACCTTAAATTTGCAGGGAATTGTAAATCCATATAACAATTCAAATTCAGTAAGAAGCCTTTAATGAACTGCAAGGAAATGAAGGCCTCAGAATTCATAGTTTCCAGGTTTTTTGGTTGTTACTTAATATTTATATATGCACCCTTATTGGCATTTTTAAGGACTACCATTTAATGGCTCCTTTATAAAAAAAGAGCTTACAAACTATTACTCCTGCATTTCATTGAAGTTACTACACAAGTACTGTGAATATGAAAATGACTTTTCAGGAAATCACCTAAATTATTTTTCGAAGTTATTCAATTATTAAGTTTTCAGATCATGTCTTTCTTTACTGGATATTGAGGTAGCTATACAAAACTATCCGTCCGTCTGTCCACATTAGAAGAAAGGGGCTCTCTGAAATGATTTGGTCCAGTGGAGTGGTTAAAGGTCTGCTTCTTAAATCCCAGCCCTATTCTTTTATTTATGTGTGGTTTCACTCGCTGCAGCAAACTTTCCCAAACTCATAACAAGCGTAAATGGTGTTCTCTTATAAAAGGGTCTCTTCAGCCTGGTAATATACCTTATTAAATTCCAAACATAGTAAGTATTGATGGCAAACACATCAGGACCCAGTACAGCTCCTATGATTTAGTTCTCTACAAATGACTTCAACACTCAGCTCCCAATGCATTGTGCTAATTACATCATAGATTTCCCTATTGATGAACACAAGCTGAATTAACACAGGAGCACTAATGTACCCTTTCACCATTATTGTTGTACAAGAAGCCGTGGCAGATGCTGGCAGTTAGTTACACAAACATTAGTATTAACGATTGGCCATTTGGAATTGGTGACAAACTACTGCCCGGCAGAATCCTGAGGCTGAAACCAATCAGGAAGTTAATGAGGAGAGAAATTACCACTGCAGCTTCCCCTTAATTACATTCACACCAAGCAGGAAGGGAGTTCGAGGGGTGGGTCTGAACTCGGTTAAGGTTAAGAAGGTCAGAGACCCTTTCGCTTAAATTTTGTATCTGTTGTGGCTTGTAAGGTCGCAAAAATTGTCCAGCACTTTATTACTTTAACATCCTTCATATTTAATGTCTGTTTTTAGAGGAGTTTTATGTTCACGGGTTTGCTTTAAAAATCTTTATCTGGGTTCTATTTTAGTGTGGTATAATTCAATTTCTTATACGTTTTGTGGTTTTAAAAAGTTTCCCTCCCATTTACTGCTTTTTACTTTTAAAAACAGTATGTATGCTGAGGCCCTCTCCCCGCGCCCCCCCCCCCCGTTTGTCCCCATATCTCCACAGGAAAGTTGATACGCTATCACCTTCACCTGCTATATATTGAAAACTAGGGTTACCTGTCAAATGGTGGAAATACATGGGTGGAGTCTTGCTTGGGGTAATTTGTCAGATGGATCATTTGACAAGACAGGTTCTATTAGCATCCTTTACATAAAGGAGGGGCTCAGGGAAGGGTGGAAATAGTTTCCCCCAAGAGAGGGGAACAGACTGGGTTTTTTTTTGTTTTTAATGAACATAAAACTGGAACTCTGCTAGTTAACTTTCCCCTACAGTTAAATAGATAATACTGCACTGAAATTCTATTTTCTTATTTTAAAAAAGTGCTCGGGATTTTAATGAGTGTCTATAAAAACACTTTCCCTGGAAATAGAAATGCAGAGTGCCTCTTTCTTTGTTGGAACCTAATTGAAAACTGAATGTACAAAGACTAGACACTTTTAACACACTCTTCTCCCTCTGTCTCTCCCACTTCCCAGTCTTCTCGCCACCCAGCAGTCAAGATTCGGGCTTGGTCTCCCTCTCCAGCAGCTCTCCCATCAGCAACGAGAGCACAAAGGGAGTGCTTGAATGTGAGCCCGCCTCCGAGCCCAGCAGCTTTGCGGTCACTCCCGTCATCGAGGAGGACGAGTGAGCGGTGCCTTTGGTGGTTCACTTGGAATAGCAGGCTTATTCCATGTATACACAGGGTTTGTTGTTACTATTTTGCCTTGACTCATGTCAACTTAACTGTTGAGAAAGTGTTTGCGTTATAC